CAGCATGGTCAGTAACACATTTCCTACGTGTCGGTTGGGCAACTCTTGCGAGAGAGATTTGTCTGACGTGTGTAAAGTCGGCCATTGATGGTGCTGTGACTTGTGGTTTTGATGGGGTAGTTTCCGATCTACCCCCTTCCTAGCGTGTCGAATGTAATACTCACAATACGAATAGGACACCGAATTCCCCGGTGTGGTTGCACGGCCTATCGGAGACTTCAACTCAAAGGCGTCATATCACTACCAAACAGTTCGCTGCAACGTCGACTTGCTCAAGATCATTCAGCTCGGTGTCACCCTCTTCAACGTACAAGGCGACGTTCCACCCTCGCATCTCGATACTTCAAACCTCCGCTACAAGCCAAAGTCGCTACAAAGACATGCGAGCAACATTGTCGTCTGCCCATGCACATGGTCATTTAACTTTAACTTTGCACTTGAAGAAGACATGTACAACGAGGAGTCGATACAAATGCTCAAGAAGTCTGGTGCCGACTTTGAGAAGCACCGAGAGCAGGGCATCGATCCCAAGGAATTCGGCTCATTACTCACAACATCCGGCATGGTGATTTCTGAAGACGTTAACTGGATATCGTTTCATTCTGGTTACGACTTTGCATACATGCTCAAGATGTTGACATCGAAACCTCTTCCTGAAGACGAGGAAGCATACCGCAAGCTCGTCAAAATGTTCTTCCCGAAACTGCTCGACGTAAAGTATCTCTGGCGACATGCAAACAACCTCGTTAGGCGCGGCGTTATTGGCTCCACAGCAACAAACATACTCAACAACCTAGGCACGAAATCCGGTCTTCAAGATCTTGCCGACGAGCTCGGCTGCCAGCGCGTTGGCAACTCACACACGGCTGGCTCCGACGCCTGGTTAACCGGTGTAGTCTTCTGGGAAATGAAGAAGAAAATCTTCGACGGCACCGTCCCCGAGGAAATGAGCGGCCACATGTGGGGTCTCACTGGCGTCGGCCCCCCAGCAAGCGCTACCGCTCAAGCCGCCGTCATTGCTGCACAGGGCGCTTCACAGGGTCTATCTGGCTTCCAACAGGGCGTCAACAATACCTTTTATCCAGGTAACGCTCGCCATGGTGTCGATGGACCCAGTACGCCTACAAACCACCCCGCTGGTCTCGCAAACACACCTGGTCCGACGGGTATGATGACTCCTGGAGCTTATGGCTATGGCAATAAGTAGTCCTCTGACCAATTTGGCGCATTAGCGCACACACCTGGTATTGGGAGTGGTATGGTGCCCAGCGGCCACTATGGTGATATTGGTCTGTCGCGTCTGGGGAATCCTCTCATGGCCCCTTCTATGACCCCTCGTGTGAACTCTGACGGCGGTGTTGACGGCGGTGGCGGTCAAAAGGTTAAACGTAATCAGCGTAGGCATAAGTCTAAGGCTAAGTCTGAGTCTAAGTTTGAGTCTAAGCTCTAGGTTCTGGGCTTGGAAATGCCGGTGTCTGTCTGAGCGCTCTCCCTATGTAGTAGTGGAGCATATATCTGTCACTGCTGGAAAAGGGGGTTCTGCGGGGTATTGGACGGAACGGGACAGGACAGGACAGGACAGGACTTGGCGTAGGGGTTAAAACGTGTATGTACGATACCCGGGTCGTAGTGTATTAGTCTACTATGGGCGTTGTCGTTTTCTTTCCTTTTTCTCACGGTATGGGTGTGCGTGCATGGTACACTAGAGAAGTACTGTATCGTACTGTGCTGTACTACACTGGTTCAATTGTATGAGCTTACATTACCGTCAATACCATCATTACATGTCAATTGACATGTGAAAGCTGTGACTAGGTGAATTGTGAGTGCTTGAAATAACGCGTTACAAGTATCCTTTTATTTGACTTGTCCCAGCCTAGCAGACAAGTATATATGTGTCTCCAAAAGACAACAGGTGATGATATAGACGAGAAAGGCTGTGTTGCTATGTCCGGCTACATATTAAACCTCGTCCTCTTCTTCTCCATACGGCCCTTCCACTGCCACTCCTGCCCACTCTTGAACTGGATCCCCCGATCTATCCTACGGAGTTTGAGCGTCATTCGTGGTCTGTTCATTCCATGTTAGCCAATGTCACTCATCCTCCAATTGCAATATGTCATAGTAGGAACCCAGAAAAGAAAAAAAACTCACCCAATCTCCTGCATGCCCACCCTAACGTCCTCAACCCCTGGAATAGGTTTCCCATCATTCCCGACAACCGACTTCTCCGACCCGCGCTTATCCCTAAAAACATAGCGATGCCTACGCACGAAAATGTAATCGCGCTGATTATGCAGCGTAAGCACCTGTCTGCCCTCTAATTCGGGTTTGGCCGGGAAAAGGTTCTTGAAGAGATGAGCTGTTAGTATACCGAGAGGGGTTTTGAACTGGTTAAGGATGAGTTCGGGGTAATGTCCCGTATCGGTAGCATGGCGTGGCAACTTCTTGCCCTCGATCCAATTTGAGACGCTAAAGTGGAAATGGGGGCCGTGGGGGAGAGTGACGATATCGAGGCCGTCGGGCTTCTTTTCGTGCTCGGCTTGCATGAGGATGACGAGGGCGGTGTACCCGCGGGCAGAGGCGAAGGAGGCGATTTCCTTGACGCTGTATTTGTGCGCGTGCACGTGTTTGGTGCGGCGGATGTAGGTGCTGTTTGGGAAGAGGCCGGTGAGGATGTCTGCTTCTTTGTGGAGGGTTGAGTTTATGCTTGTGGTGATTAGGATTTGGGGGTCTTGTTCCGGGGGGTTGAAGATGGAGGGGAACTTCTGCTTGAGGAATTCGGGAGAGAGCTCGAGGTTGGTGGCTGTGGAGGTGGCGCTGGGGCTAGAGGCACGGTTTTTGGTTTTGGAGGGCGCCGTGGAGTCGACGTCTGAGTCCATGTCTGAGTCGAGGGAGGGTTCGCTTTCGGAGGCGTCGAGCATGCTGTCTGCTTCGTCGGACATGTCGTCGTCGTCGTCGTCGTCGTCGTCGTTGCCTCCAACGGTTTCTTGATCGCGCTTCTTCAGCTTGGCTAGTATGCCTTCTTCCTCGCCATTTTGGTCGCCCGCTTTCTCAGCGGCCTCCTCTTGCTCCAGCTTTCTCCTCTTGGCCAGTCTCTCAACGTCTATTGCCCAGCCCAGCGCATCCTCCTCGTCGCCAACTGGCTCGTCCCATACTCGCTTGCTTTCAATGGTCGTGGGTTTATTGTGGGCAAGTCGCTCTTCACGCAGGGCCGGGTTCTTTTCTTCCTCGCGCTTGCGACGGAGTCTTGCGTCGCGCTTGTCGGCTTCTCGAGCTTTTTTGATCGACAGAAAGGCAGCCTGTCGGCGGAGTTTGTTCTTGGGCTTGAGGCCAGAGGCGGTGTTTGGCTTAGGGGCGGCCATGGCAGGTTTAGGCGCGTCGTCTCGCGTCTTCTGAATTGGCAAGTTCGGGAGTCCGCCAGTCGCAAAGTCGCAGTTGTTCTGCTCACAACTTTTCTGTGGAGCTCTGGCCCGTGCATTCCGCAATCTTGGCGTTCACAGACGGGCGGAGCTTCTGCATGTCGGAACTGCAGGTGCAAGAATCCAGGGCAATCTGTATATTATTAAGTCATTTACTTGATTAATCCCTCTTGTGTTAGACAAGAGAGGGTCTGGTATATGCACCACCTGCAGGCATTGCTGCGCGTTTCTCCCTGGTCTGCGCGTCTGGCTTTACGTAGAAGCCTATATCGTGCCCCACCACCTTCGACTCATCCCACCAAGCACTTCTCGTCCACTTCACCACAACTCAGGTACCAGGTGCCACAGCGCAAGAAAGACACCATGCCTAGCGATACTACCACATTCAAGGGCAAGCCCTTTGAGCGCGCTGCTTTCGAGCAGCTCATGAAGGTAGGCGGGGATACTGCCAACTTGGATGCAGTCGACTAACAAAGACCAATTGTAGCACAAGTACTTCTATGCGCCCTCGTTCGACATCTACGGTGGTGTCGCCGGTCTCTACGATTACGGCCCACCCGGTTCCGCACTCACTGACAATATTGTTGACATATGGCGGGAACACTTCGTGCTCGAGGAGGACATGCTCAAGGTCGACCCCACTATCCTCACCACACATGAGGTTCTCAAGACGTCTGGTCACGTCGACAAGTTTGCAGACTGGATGTCCAAGGATCCCGATAGTGGCGAGATTTTCCGTGCCGATCACTTGGTCGAGGAGGTGCTCGAGGCCAGGCTAAAGGGCGACAAGGAGGCACGCGGCCAAAAGGTAGAGGTTGAGGAGGAAGACCCAAAGAAGAAAAAGAAGAAGGTCAAGAACATTGCTGCGGTGAAGCTCGACGATGCCATGGTACAAGAGATTGAGGAAGTCCTGGCCAAGATCGACAACTACGACGGCAAGGAGCTCGGCCAGCTGATGGAGAAGTACAACATCAAGAACCCCACAACCAATGGCCCACTCCTGCCTCCGACCGCCTTCAACCTCATGTTCGAGACGGCCATTGGTCCATCCGCCAACTTGCCCGCATACCTACGACCTGAGACCGCCCAGGGCCAGTTTGTAAACTTCCAGAAACTGCTGGACCACAACATGCAGCAAATGCCTTTTGCTTCCGCATCCATCGGCAAGTCTTTCCGAAACGAAATCTCCCCCCGCCAAGGTCTGCTCCGTGTTCGCGAGTTCCTCATGGCTGAGATTGAGCACTTTGTCGATCCCGAAGGCGGCAAGAAACACCCGCGATTCGATGAGGTCAAGGATGTTGAGCTCGAGCTGCTCAACCGGGACGTCCAGCTTTCCGGCAAAACCACGGTTGAGACGACAAAGATTGGAAAGGCAGTTGAGACTGGTATTGTAGACAACGAGACGCTGGGCTACTTCCTGGCCCGCATCCAGCTTTTCCTCTTGAAGATTGGTGTCGACCCCAAGAAGATTCGTTTCAGGCAGCACATGGCCAACGAAATGGCACATTACGCAGCAGACTGTTGGGATGCCGAGCTACTCACATCATACGGCTGGATCGAGTGCGTTGGCTGCGCTGACCGAAGTGCGTACGATCTTTCTGTGCACATGAAGAGGACTGGCGCACCCTTGATTGTCCGTGAGACAAGAAAAGAGCCTCTGCAGATTGAGGAGTGGCAATGCGATCTCGACAAGAAGCGGTTTGGACCCAAGTTCAAAAAGGACGGCAAGACGGTCGAAGCCGCCATCGATGCCTTGTCGCAAGAAGTACGCGAGAAGCTGTCGCTAGACTTGGAAAAGGAGGGCAAGATTGTGATTGATGTTCCTGAGGTCGGTAATGGCAAAGTTGAAATACCAAAGGAACTCATCACTATCGAAAAGCGCACCAGGGTAGAGACGATGCGGGAATACACACCCAACGTCATTGAGCCATCGTTTGGTATCGGTCGCATATTCTACGTAAGTATTCTTCCAAGTATCGTTTGCAAGTTTTGCTAACCATGGCAGGCGCTCTGTGAGCACGTATACTGGACACGTGAGCAAGACGAAGCCCGTGCTGTCCTCTCGTTCCCCCCAGCGGTTGCACCGACAAAGGTGTTGATCGTGCCTCTCAGCTCAAATCCCGACTTTGAGCCTTTTGTTCGAAAGCTCAAGGACAAGCTGCGAAGACTCGGCATCTCCAACCGCGTCGATGCTTCGGGTGCATCAATAGGCAAGCGATATGCGGTAAGTCGTCTCTTCAGTAAAGATTAGAGTCACGTTCTGACATGATGTAGCGTAACGATGAGCTTGGCACTCCCCTCGGTATCACTATCGATTTCCAGTCGATCAAAGACAACACCTTCACGCTACGAGACCGGGACACAACAGAGCAGGTTCGCTCAAGCCTGGACGAGATTGCAAAGGCTATTGCCAATATCGTAAAGGGCGAGGAGAAATGGTCAGATGTTGCAGCACGGTTACCCAAGTTTGAGGGTCAAGAGGTGGATTGAGAAGGGTGAAGAGGATGCGCAAAATCTGGGCTGTTAATTGACCATCTTCATGGTCCACGCATGTAGTGGCTAGAACAAAATGTCTTGGGCGCATAAATATCGCAAGCTTCGCAAGGCAGGTGCGGCCTGTTGTACATTCGGAGCCGGTGACATTCTGGTTCCGTTTATGACCTGGCGCGATGCTCTACTTATCCACCGTGAAAAACTTCATCTTACCTTGCATGTTGCTATTCCCAATGGCGGTTCGCATATATTTGGTTGAATTTTGCTCCGTGTGCATGCGTTGACGGCCTGACTCAACCCTTACTCAACACTCCGAGGACCCGGTCTTTAGATGCCTGCATGATGCATTCAGCTCGGGCAGAATTCCCACCACGGTAGGATCGTCCGGATTCATGTACCAGCCAGTCAACAGTCTCTTGTTAGCCGGGCTGGAATCTACATATTACTTGACGATAGGTGCAATTTGCGTGTAACATTAACATCTGGCTGCAAGGCAGGTAGGTAATCTATTACACAGCGGACAATAGTACCCTTGGCTGCGCACCTATTCATCGGATTCTGACCGAATCTGACTTTGTCAAGCGACCCAGCTCTCAGGTCTGTCGATCTCCTCCCGGGCTGGCACGGCGGAATGAGCACCCGCTGCATGTTGCGACATTACACGCAGCCAGCGATGACTCGAACACGCTCTGGAACCGATGTCATGATTTGGAATTGGGAGACGTGTGGTGATTGTGATGGCGGGGATAAACATGCATTCATCTTGTCGCGATGCATGTGCATGTGCATGTTTCACACTGCTATCCAATGCTTCACATACAAAGGCTGTGCACCTGTCGTCTTCACTTCCGAGAGTCTGGTTGCCCGCGGCGATCCGCTGTGACCCCACGCGGCTCGAGCGCCTGGGTCCGACAGTATGGCTGTGCATGACTGCACCGTGCCACCAACCACACCCGCTTCAAAATTACGTCTTGCCCTACAATTCAGTCATGGCCCTGTGTCTTTAGCCAGTATCCGAGGATAAAGATCAACAGAGGCCGCTCTATAAAGGCAACAAATCCTGGCTCTAGGTCCACCTCCCTGTACCACTACAGGGACGGGGTTTTGGACTTCCCGCTGACAGCTGCGAACCTGTCGTATGAGACGGACTCGACGGACTCGGGAAATTGCGCTGCAACGTAACCATGGACGCCTTCCAGAGCCAGTTCTTCGATGCCTTGACTAATGCCCAGGACACGGAGCCTGTGGTACTGAATGGCTGCTACTGCTGTGTTTGTAATGCTGTATCAGAGCCGCATGGTCAGAGGTCGTCGTGCAGCAAGGCATGCACATTGTTAATGTCATCGTCCGCATTCCGCTATCAGCACTTGATCGAGACTGCTGCTTACCCTGACCCAAAGCCATCCGTTTAGATCATGCCCTTTCGGGTGCACTATGGTCTTGTCCAATTCCACATGCGCCTAGCAAGTTTTATTACGCCAGACGTAGTGTTTATGCTGCAGGGTACCTGATAGCCACCCGTGGGTCGGGCTCCGCACAACAAGTCTAATACTCGCTGTAAGCTCCGTATAATCCAGGATACGCGCGCGCCCCCAGCATCAAGCGACCACCATCGCTTAGCATGCGCAACGTCAAGCATTAGCACCAGACTTCCTCTAGGCTGTTGCAGAGGCAGCACATGTCAAAGCCCGGCACGTCTTTCTGCTTCCTTCATCACACCGCCGTTGCTCACCCGGTCGTCCAAAATCCTTGGGCTTTTATAGTCCCATTCCGAGACCATGGACAAGGAACCGCCACAACCCGACCATATGGTTGCCCCTCACACAGCCGCTCCACTCAAACGCCCAAGAGCTGACTCGGAAAGTTCGGCATCGATTGATTCAATGTACGTCACTATCGTCTGTTGCGCGTTGCTTTTCTATTTCCGTCGACTGGCGTGGCCGGAAGGAGCAACCCGCCATGCTCCTTAAGCAAACACCCATGGTGGACTTGTCGCTTATGGGCAATGGAAAAGCATCTTTGTAACAAACAACAGAACTGACCTTCAGCCCGCTAGCCGCTCTTTTCGCACCCTCACCTCGGATGATGTGGAATATGTGCATGAAAATGGTCGGACATATGGAAATGATACCTACTACATGCCGTGTGTTTACAAGCCCAACAACGACTTTGCAGAACAGGATCGGCTGTCTCTGCAACATGAAATCTTCCTTCGTGCACTCAAGGGAAAGCTCACGACTACGCGCCTGCTACCAACTACACGAAGAATACTAGATCTCGGTACTGGGCCGGGTCACTGGGCTATCTCCATGGCACGTCAATATCCACATGCAGAAGTTGTTGGGATTGACATGGTCGAGTGGGATATAGAGACGACCGAAGCTACATTGGGAAACTCTACAGTGACATGGGAGCTTGATGATTTGGACGTCTGGGGCAGAGAAATCAATGTCGATGAGCTGGTCGACAAGCTCTCCACCATGGACCTAGCCACCAACATGAGCAACCGAGATCCCCTCGAGTCACCCAAAAAGCCCAAATCGCCAACCAAAACGCAAAATGAACCAAATAGCTCAGACGAAAACATGACCATCGACCTTTCCTCCATAACACCCCAACCAGAACCCGGCTGGCACTTCAGCGACAGTTTCGATTTCATCCACCTCCGAAACTTGAAAGGCACCTTCACACACTGGGAAGAAGTCTACACTGAAATCTACAACAGCCTCAACCCCGGCGGCTGGATCGAAGTCGTAGACTGGGATCTCGGTCACGTCCCCAGCTCAACCACACCTACAAATCCAAACGACATCCCCTTGCCCACCCTCCGCAAACTCTACGTCGCCTTCATGGAAGCATCGTTCAAATCCGGTCGGCCCCTTGGTCTCTTCTATATGCACCCCTCCTACCTCGAAGAAGCCGGCTTCGAAGACATTCAAACCACACACGTCAACGTGCCTGTGGGCCAATGGGCCAACGATGAGGCGCAGAAGTCGCTTGGTAAGATGATGTTTGTGCTGGGTATGGAGACGTTCGAACCGGTTTGTCTCAGGCTGCTGACACGGTGGGGGAGTGGGGGCAGGGTGTGGACGGCCGAAGAATTGAGGGAGGATGTGGCGAGAGCGCAGGACGAGATTAGGGACTATGTGGCGAGAAGTGAGAGAGGGGAGGTGGAGGGGTGGTGTGCGAGTTTCAAGTGGGTTACGGCGAGAAAGAGTTGGCATGCTGAGAGGTGAGGAAGAAGAGGGGGTACGGCGGGGTGGGGCTTGGTGTATGGAGGAGGACGTGTGTCTTGGGTGGAGTTTGCTGGTTTGGTATTTTGTATGGGTATATTAGGGTATAGTAATGATTGATGGAATGCAAATAAATTCATATGACTAACTCACGGTATCAGTATACTATCGCTAACTGTATTTAGGGGTCGTGTAATGCACCAAAGAGCCCATGCCGGCAGGTGCTAAACCTGGATCGAGCCTTCTTGTAAATAATGATTATAAAGGGGCCTTGTGATAGAAAGACACGCAGCACACACTCTCCCCTCCCTCGCTTTTTCTGTCTCTTCAACCTCGTCCACTACATTAGTAAACAGAAGCCTTTATCGCTTTTAAACTACACGGCCTCCTTAAACTTCCGGCCATGGAATTGAACATTCTCTCTATTCTCTTACTTGTGTCTTATATCCTAAAAAAATGGGGGGGGGGGGTAGGATTAAGACTCCAAATGGAGTAGAAGTATAGTAGGTATAGGAAGGAGTTCACGACAAGCACACATCTTCGCACCAAATAGATAAATCTCATCACATCCACCCCGTACCAACTCCCCTCTCCCAAAAGAACCTGTTCTATTACTCTAATCGCGCGACTATCAATCATAGCTACACTAAACTACTAACCTACAAGATTTATAACTAGTGTTGCCTGAAACAACACTAACTTCTCATTTCCTCATTTCTCTTTTCAAGAAACCAACATGTCAGTTCTCACCAGCACAATATCCCCACACTACTGGTCTGCCGAACATCCATTGTGTTCCAACCGGCCGCCCACACTCTATCTAAGCTCGAAACGCCGCCCGAGACTGTACTTGGGCAATCGCATGTGTAAAAGACGCAAGTGTCGTACACTAGACAGATGGATAAGCGGACTCCTCCTGAGGGGTGAGGATATGGGAATTTGACCGCGAGCTCGTTAGAGGGAGATAAGCCGCAGAGATGACTTTAGGAGACTAGTAGACCGGGGAGGTAGAGATCGTAGATGACCTTGTTAAGTGTGGATGAGTTGTTTTCGCAGACGTGAAGTTTAGATTCGAAGAGTCTTAGGAGGTTGGCAGGGTAAAGAACATTATCCGGATACATGAGCTCAAATCCATCAGACTACTATGCAAATACCATTTCATGCTACTCCTGCCACCAACTCCTCCCAACATCTTCTCGTCAAATCACTCAACTCAAATCCCCCGCCCCATTCTCCTCATCCCCCTTAACCTTCCCCCATACCCCACCCCTCTCATCCGCCGGATTTCGCAAAGGGATTCGCACAAGCCCTATTCCTCAAACGCAGGGATAATACCGCCTATATGTATAATGCGCCACGCCCCATACCCAACAATGACCCCACACTCACATCCCAAACATCATGTCTATAATCCTCACACCGCGAAATCGCTATCAGCGCCGCGCCCAGCAGCGGCGCCATAGCCAACAGCACACGTGCGAGATCGGCGCGCGGCCGATAAACATGACACTGGCCCGCGATGAACAGCGCAAGATAGCCCAACCCACTAGACGCAAAACTAGAATGTCCGCTTGGAAAACTCCGCCATCCGTCGTGTAAAACGTGATGATTCGTTTCCGTGCAAACCTCCCACGTCACCAGCGTATGTGCCGGCGTCCCCGGTTTGGGTTTACACCGCGCGATGAGGTCGGGTCGCGGGCGCCCAACTGCGTTCTTGATCACGTCTGTGATGAACATTGTGAGCACCATGCTGATGCCCCAGCCGAGCAGTGTGACGTGGGCTTTGTGGGCACCTGGACGGACGAGTAAGGCCCAGGCGATTAGTATGCCGAGCGGGACGGCGCCGGCGTAAATGAAGAGCCAGGGCACGGAGACGCGTTCGGTGGTTGCGTGGGGGTACGATATGGCGAGGTTGTCGAGCGAGAACATGCGGTGGAAGGGGGAGGCGAGGAATTGAATCTGTATCTGGTTTGTTAGGAGTGGCGTTTTCTGTGGGCGGGGGAGAGGGTGGATGTGGGTTGTTGCGTGGGAATAGTAGGAGGGAGCATGTGGTGGTGGGAAGCTTTATACATACAAATATATAACCGCATATTAAAATCAAGATACCGAGATAATCTGATGCATACGAGCGCTAGGAATCATGGTCAGCTCTGCTATGCACCATTTCCTTGGGTTATGTCCCCATGCGTGGTATATTCCAACGAATCCGACAAAAGATACGTAACTAGCTACATACCTGCCAGAAGCGGGCCGCAGCGCCCAAGAAACCAGGCTTGTTGAGCAAGTCATTGGAAGCGAGCCTGTGTTGTTGCGCAGGCATTGTCACATGTGGTCATTGCCACGTAAGTTGAAGTTTGAAGGAAGGAGTATGTGTGCGTGGTTGTAAGCTTCGGAGGTGTGTCTTCAACTCCGCAATTCCCATGCTTATGCAGGGGTGGGTGTTGGAACACGCTAGCTAGGTAGCTTCTCACGTCACTACCATACAATGTACATACATTGGCATGCCTCATAAACACACTTCCAACTTTTGCATGTATCTGAAACTAATAACTCGAAGGCAAAACCCCTAATCTGCCCCCATCGACAACAACAACACTCCCGTTCAAATACGCCCCTGCCCTCCCCACCATCCACAACACCGCCCCGGCAATATCTTCATCACTACCCACCCTCTCCACCGGAATAATCCCTCTATCCACCTTCCCGTCTTCTGTCCCTGATAACCCCTGAATAATCCCCGGTGTCATGTCTGTCGGAAACACGCCGGGAGCAAGTACATTACACCTGACCCTGAACCCCACCAGCGCCGACGCAAGCATTTTGCTCATGTGCGTGACAGCCGCCTTACTGCTGTTGTAAGCAAAAGACGCGCCGGGGAGGCGGGAGAAACCGGCGATGCTGGAGGTAGTGATGATTTGAGAGGTGGAGCCTGTAGTAGCAGTGTTTTCGTTGCCGGCGACTAGGAGGGGGAGGAATGCCATGGCTGTGTAATAGACAGCTGAACCGTTGACGTGGTAAGTGTTTGTGAAGTCTTCCATTGGCGTGGCTAGAGCGTGGGAGGCGTATTGTTGCGCTTTTTCCTTTTCTGATAGTGCTTCCGAGGAGAATGTCTTGAGGGGTCGCGGTCCCATGATGCCGGCGTTGGCGATGAGGAGGTTAATGGAGCCTTCTTGCTGGGTTATGGTGGCACTGATTTCTTCCAAGTCTTCGATTTTCGTTACGTCGCCTTGTATTGGGATGACGACGTTAGGGTCGATGGATTCGGCGGCAGAGCGGAGAATTGACTCCCGCCGCCCAATGATGTAGACCCTGCGGGCGCCGTTGAGGACGAGGGTCTTTGTCATTGTGAGGCCGATGCCTGGGCGGTGGTGTCAGTTGTGTATGCGAAGATATTGATGGGGATGCGGGTGGGAAAGGTACCGGATCCACCGCCTGTGATGACGGCGACCATGCCTTGTACATTGAATAGTGTGGCAGCTGAGAGGGGAGATGCCATAGCGACAGTGATGTTGTGCATTTGTGTGGGATTCAGGAAACGACGACGAGGATTGATGTTATTTACTATGGAATTTGTCACGGCTCCGCTTTCCGAAGCTGGTTGCGTCGTACATGCATGTATCTACGGGTATCTGTATTGCGTCCTGGAAGACGGGTATGTAAGGTGTCGATGTGCGAAACTTGGATAAGTGACTTCAAAGACGATGAACAGGTCAAGGGCTTGACGATGTTTACAACGAAAGAGCTTTTGTGTACAATCAAGATGCAACCGAGTCAAGTTACGGAAATTTGGCGATAACACTGACGTGCAATAGTGTCAGGGAACGGACAAAGGACATTAAGACTTCAGAACCAGTAACGAGAGACTATTCATACAAACTGTCGAGATCAAGATAATAATACACAGCATTTGCTGCAAAAAGCAGTATTGGAATTGCATGCTCATGCTGTCTGTGAAAAACTGCTACATAAGAAAAACTGCTTTAGATGCAGGAGGAACACACGAGCAAAAACCCCCCTTCTTGGTATACCCAACGCCGCAAACATAAGATCGTAAAAACAAAACGAGGTAGGAGACAAGGTATTTACATGCCCCATCCGCCCGTCACGGCGTTCAAAGCACCATCGACGGCCTCTTCTAGCGTCTCGACTCGCAGTCTGAGTGTGCGGTTCTCCTCGCGTTCCCTTGCGAGGCGGCCCCAGACTGCGGATTGTGCACCGCCTTCGCAATTTTCGCAGCCCCACGTGCGTATTTCCACTTTGCTCTGGCGAGACTTGGTGGATGTGCCGCCGCGTTGCAAGGGCTGGGGTTTCCGGCCCTTGGGTGTCGCGTCGTGGACTTCGCTGTCGAGGACGGAGGAGCGGTCGGTGCCGGTGGGGCTGAGGCAGTTGCGGGAGAAGACGCTGGCAGCATCGGTTTCGGCCTCCGATTCAAAGCCGGAGTCGACGCTGAGTTCTGAGCCGGAGATGCGGTTGTGTCGTCGCGTCGTTTCCTGGCAGGTGGTGTGCTCGCACTGTCTGATGAGAGCCAGACTCCTCTTGCGGGCTGCCTCTTCCTCTTGTCGGGCCTTTCGCTCAAACGCGAGGTCTTCCATCAGACTGCGCATCTGCTCATCCTGGTCATCTGCGCGCCTTGCCATGCTCTCGAGCTGCATCTTCAGATGACGGGCTCGCGTCTCGACCTCGTCGAGCTCATCCTCCTGCGCACTTTGTTCAGACTGTGCATCGACTAACGCGGTCGAGAGTTGGCGGTAGGCAGACTGGTAGCGAGAGAGCAGCGCTTCGGCATTGGTGAGGAGATCGTGGAAGGACGACGGAGCTAGCGGATCGGCAGGTCCGTGTGGAAAGAGGGCCTGGGAGATTTTGAGGTTGATGAGCTCGTCATCGGGGTTGTGGTAGGTGGGTGATGGTTGTGGCGACGGCGTGGCGGCGCTCTTTTGTGTGGACAACAACCACGCGAACTTGCTGCCGGCAGTCGGCTGGGCCGGCGCCTTGGTCTGTGTCTGAGTTTCGTCTGATCGCCTAGGGGTCTCGGACGCTCCTCTGGTAAGCGAGGATCCACGGTTGAAGATGTTAGCCATCATACTGCTTCGGTCTTCTTCCTCCTCCTCTTCCTCAGATTCGGATTCCGAGTCGTATTCCTCTCCAGACCCGGACTCGGAGTCGGAATAGTCGTCCTGGCGCGGTGATGCACCGAGCTTTACAGACGAAGAGCCGCTGAACCAGTTCTGTATGGCCCTAATCTTGGGCTGGCTAGCGTTTGATTCGACGGCGGCTCGTGACGGGATGAAGCTTGCCAAGGATTTGGATGGTGAGGATGCGCGTGAAGTATGTTGCTGGATTGTCGAGGTGGCGCGGTTGAGGTTGTCGAAGATTGTGCCCGTCAAGCTGCGCTGGTGACTGCTGCGGCCAGAACGCGGAAAGTCGTCGAGTGGGGAAGGCGCCTGGGGGTCATAGGCCGTAGCAGAGGTTGGTGTCAAGGCAGAAGGAGGAGGCTGGAGGCCCGTGATGTCTACGTCGTCAAAGCTGTGCGGCTCATCATCAGGCACTGGGCTCGACTTTGACTGATCCCGGCTGTGGTACGACTGTGATTTCACACCGGCGTGTTGAGAGCTATGGGTCGGAGAAGGGGCCTGAGGTGGAAGCTGGAGCTCCAATTCGCGAGGGACGTTGGGACTCATATGGGGCTACTGCGCCTAAATCTCCGGGTCCCGCGCACGAACTGTCTGCTGGTCAGGGTGCAAGGAATGTATCCGTCCGCTCAGTCACAACACTTCTTCTGATCGGCAAACAGATGAAGGGAGCAGTTGTGAAACAGAATGGCGATCTTTCCTTGCTGCTATCGAAAGGCGCCCTGAGGATAGCCCGGCAACAAGCTAGTGATAAGACCGAGGGGCGGTTCGTGGGGGGGTAGTGGAGCGACAGGCGGCTGCGACCGTCGTTGAACTTTAGGTGGTTGGTAGGTTAAGTCTCTGCAAGCCTGGCGTACCAGAGGTCGGAAGATTGTTTGATGTGTGCACAAAGAAGGAACCAGAGTTTTGACCTGTCAGTCGTGGTTGTGCAGGAAAAAAGATGGCGGGTGCTGCGTTTTGTGAGGCTGGGACTGGGCTAGTTCACCGACACGGCAGATGCACACCGCAACACGTATACATCGCTTAGCCGCTCCAATGGCATCTTGCAGCGGTTCAAATTCGACCCATGAACTAAACCTGTTCGTTTGGTTTGTTCCTGTTCGTGTTTCGAAACATGCAACCTGTAGAACGCCTAGCCCGACGTATGTAGTACGCGTTGTGATCGGCTAGCTGTCTCCCGCGTTCCGCGCGTACCTAAGCAAAGCAGTATAGACTTGGACATATGCCAGTCAGTACATGGTTACCTACTGCACCTTCACCATGGCCATGACGTCTTCTTTGAGAAACGAGAGAACTTTCATCCATAAACATCTCACTATAGACGCTGAGAACCTGTGACCCTAGTCATGTGCTGCACTGACACCGTTCGGTACACCACCACGTCATCCCGCCGCTACATGCAAGCCCTCTACTTGCTGCACTAGGTGCGCAACCTCCGAAGTTCCCCAACGCTCAGTGGGCTCAGTGCCGTCATCTGGCAAAACAAACCATGGCGCCTTCTCGCGAAGAAAAATGTGCTTCACTACCTTCGGTGCCGGCTCAGTCTTGAGACTGTCCAGGTCCACCGTCGACATACACAAAGCAAGCCCGTCAGGATCCGAAGGATAGGTCATAGTTATTGGAGCGCCACAGCCCGAACAAAATGTCCGTTCTGCAATGTCCGATAGTCTCAGAACCTTGCGGGTATCCGAGTGGCTAAACAACAGAGCTTTCCTTGGAACGTGTGTGAACGGGAGGAAGGCCGAGCCAGATACTTGCTGGCATGCGCGGCAATGACACAGCGTGATGTCTGAGGGTGCAGCACTTGATGTGTATTGTACCCCGCCGCAGCGGCACCCGCCCCTAAAGACAACATCGTGCTTGATGGCCGGTCGGACGTATCTCGAACCGTCGGCAGCTGCATGTGGTCAGTTTATCATCAGCCAGCCTGGCAATGTGGGCCACTTACGCCGCCGTGCGATACCGAGAAACACCGAATCCACCTCCTCCACTTTACCGTCGATGGCCAGCTTCTCCCACTCTTCTTTGTAGATGCCTTGAGCTTTCCTTCTGATGTCGTTATTCGCAAAGGTTCTCGCAACATCCTTGACGATGACATTCTCGACGAAGAAATCATCCCATTGCTCCATCTCATAGAATCTTCGACCATATCCCGCTTGGTTCTCGACGGTGATGGTCTGGTCTACCTCTAGACCTGCAGACTCCAGCGTTTGCTTGAGGGTATCCTCAGATTTACTCCATGAGCGATTATATGGGATGGGTAGTTCCAGTCTGCGTGCGACCCTTTCGAGCACCATTCCGGACACCAGGTTTCGTGGATGCGTCGCATCTAGCGCAATCATGCCTCCAGGCTTCAGGAACTCCACCCAATGCTCGATCGCAGCTTGTGGGTCGGGAAACAAGACCAAGGCAGAAGCTACCGTGATGACATCAAACTTCTTTCCCTTGAGCTCTTCTGTTTCATCCAGATGTAGAACATCACCCTTGATGAAGGTTGTATTTGCGTATTTGTCGCCACCTTGAGTCTTCCTGTGAGTAGCGACTGCAAGCATTCCGGGAGTGACGTCCACACCCACGACTTGCCCTTTGGATCCCACAGCTTCTGCCTCGCGGAATGTCAACAGTCCTGTGCCGCATGCTAGATCCAGTACTTCTTGGCCAGGCTGTATATCAAGGTACGTCATGAACCGCTTTGTGAAGTCGTTGTGCCAGGTGGCATCGTAATCCCATGATTTTGAATCATAAAATCGAATAGCGTCGGCTGCCTGTCGTTCGCCTGCCATCTTCAGTGGAATGAAATTTCGTAGTCGCGAGACTAAGAGATTTCTTCGTGTAGATATAGTAGGAGTGTTGAGGCGATTACCAATGAGGGGTGTGTTTGTCAGCTTGTGATGCTTTGGATGTGGCCAGTTACAGAACACCAAATAAGTTACCCGATTCTGGTTTTCGTGATAGTGACGCAACTTGATTACAATAGTTCTAAACTTCACTTCATGAAGTGTTTCGCCTTATGTTGGTCTACAATTCCTTGGCAACAGTGGCAAGCCCTGGAGGGGTGCCGAACACGGAAGCCATCACTAGCGTCGTGTGGGTCTGTAGTCTTGGAAGGCACAGCAGACTACAGCCACCCTATGCCTCGCTCTTTCTTTTTGCAATCAACAATTCTGCATTCTCAGCCTCTATGGTTTTCATGCAAAGCGCACCTACAGAATAAGGGGTAATGTTCTACAACAGAGCTCCTTCCTTCTGCTCACGTATGCCCGGCATCGCCGTATAACACAGGCCAAGGCAGACACCTTTTTCGCGCTCTGAATACGCTACGCGTTCCAATCGATATTTCTCATCTTGTAATAATTGCGGCTCAAGCATTCGTCATGCGCACAGATCCGTACTTACTTACATGCCAGCTACTTCGGTCCCCATGCCTGATCGAGGTCCCGAAGTTGTGTGCTATGTATACCAACTACCAGGGCAACATCCGTCATGGCATGATTTTGAGCAATAGGGTATATGCGGCCGATGATCAGCTGACCGGAGTCGCTCCGCAGCTTTTTCATGGCTTTTAACATCCTCCGTGAATGGCGCAAGGCCAGCTTCCCCTATTCTATGTACGAGCCATCTTGAAACCGCCTAATCTTCGGCACCACCACTGACTGACGACCCAGACGCAGCTTCCTCTTTTGGTAGTCAGCATTTGGTACGTCGCTTAACTACGACAGGGAGAATCCTTATTGACGTCCAAGCAGGTAACGTCAAAGATCAAAGAGTGCCCAAGGTTCTTTAACGGAAATTCTGTCGTTCCTACAGACTGCCGGGTGAACTTGAGTGGTGACTAACAGGCTAAACGGCACTTTCAACAGGTGCCCCACTGTCCCCCACATTGTGGTAATCATGGCGGCCCCTCAGCATGGCATCAATTTATATTCAACGGTCGAACCAGGGCTCATAAAGTGCGAATTGTTTCTCACGTCCAATTGACCGGTAGTCTATGACCAGCCCCATTGTGGAACCCTATCTGGATGCTTGCTACACAGCATCATATCCAACTTGGTGCACAATACCCGGATCTGGACATACGTCAGGTAGTCATATCTCATTCTCGGCCAAGGATAGTAGAGTACGAAGCAGTTTCCTCGCGGCTCAAAGGAACTCTCGCATACCAATCGATTCAACCTATATATGAGGATTACGAAGAGTTTTTCCATCAATGAGCTTTCGCTATAGCAAAGAAGCCGTGTGCGGAACGCCGTTGTGGATGCCTCGTCCAGTCAGTGTAAACTGAGAGACAATGGTCAAAGACGATAGGTTGATCCGCCAAGGCGCGTTACCACGACTGCACTGTAGCCATGTTTATGTCTTCATATAGTCATTAAATTTCGTGGCGGGGACGTGGAATGCTGGTAAAGAGCATGGTTGCTATAAAAGATGGCGATATTGCTTTTCCAATCGTCAGTGTCAAGCCTCGCAGTGTTTCAAGCCCATCAATCCACCCAACATGAGATACTCAATCATCCTTCCGCTCATTGCTACCACCGTCCTTTCGGCGCCAGCTATTGAACAACGCCAGGACGCGACATGCAACGTACCGACGACGTTCCCCACGACCACTAATGCCAAGTTGCCAAACCCCTTCAAGTTCTTCGACGGAAGAGCTGTTACTACCAGAGCCGACTTTGCCTGCAAGAACAAGGAGGTTAGCGCTGCCCTCCAGGCACAGGAACTAGGCGACTTTCCTAAAAAGCCATCGACTGTCACAGCTTCACTCTCTGGGTCATCGCTTTCCATCACTTCAAGCGAAGGCGGAAAGTCGGTCACCTTTTCTGTCACCATCAAGAAGCCCAGTGGAAACGGCCCCTTCCCGGCTATTATCGCTTATGGTGCACCCAGCATCCCGATTCCCAGTGGCGTCGCAACTATCACCTTCAATAACGACGACATCGCTCAGCAACAGAGTGGTAGCAGTCGTGGGAAGGGCAAGTTCTTCGACCTGTATGGTTCCAGCCACAGTGCGGGTGCTCTCATGGCATGGGCTTGGGGCGTCGACCGTATCATGGATGCTCTTGAGGCTACTTCTGCTACCGGTATTGACCCCAAGCGCGTCGGTGTAACTGGCTGCTCTAGGAATGGCAAGGGTGCTTTTGTCGCTGCCGCATTCGTTGACCGCATCGCTCTTGGTATCCCCCAGGAGTCCGGATCTGGCGGCGCTGCCTGCTGGCGAATCTCCGATTCTGAAAAGGCCAAGGGCAAGAACATCCAGACATCGAGCGAGATTGTCGGCGAGAACGTCTGGTTCTCAACCAGATTCAACTCGTTCAGCACCAAGTCAAACACGCTTGCCACCGACCACCACCAGCTCGCTGGAATGGTGGCTCCTCGCGGTCTTATTGTTATTGAAAACGAAATCGATTGGCTTGGACCAGTTGCTACTACTGCTTGTATGAAAGCTGCCCGTCTCATCTACAAATCTCTTGGTGCGGCCGACAACATGGGGTTTACTGGCTCCGGTAACCACAACCACTGCTCGTTCCCTGCCAACCAGCAGGCCGATCTTACAGCATTTATCAACAAGTTCCTGCTCAACCAGTCCGCAAACACGAATATCGAAAAGGGTCCTTCTGGTGCCGATGCTGCGACGTACATTGATTGGACCGCGCCTACGCTCACTTAGGGCGGATGTGGAGTCTGGGATTGTCAAGGACAAGAAAGCGAGGGAGAATGTTGATGACTTGAGGTTTGAAATGTACATAGTAACGATTCATACTCGAATGTAAATGCTTGAAACGTTGCCATTTCATGAACACGAACATGGGAACGCAGACCCTAGTAACACTGATGTAATGCTGTCTCAGACGATCCAGCATGTTGGGCAGGTAAGGGAGTCCCTCAAAATGTGAAGAATAATTAGACAACATATACTGTTTTCAGTTGGTTCTACGCGTTCATGTCCACCTGTTTGCGGTTTCGTCAGACGTTGTGGGCCAGCCAGTGTCGCTGAAGAGCGCCTCGCTATGCCTTCAACACAACATCTGATTTCTCACCACCAAGGCTTTTTTCGCGGACAAAACGTCAAAAATGCGCATCGTGTCAGAGAAAGAGTCATGGGCGGGCCTGTAGGAGTAACGGGGGACAGGCTGTAGTACTATCGACGGGTCAGCCAGGCATGAAGAGCGGTTTGATGTTCGTTGGGCCGTGGTAGCAGGCTGGAGGGGTCGTGGACGTGGCACTCCACTCGTTCCTTCCGCCCCCGATGCGGTGGCTCAGTTCGGCACTAGCCCACGTCAAGCGCGTTGTTTGCCCAGCACCCCACAACCACGTCCTGTGGTGAGTGTGAACAAGGTGAGAGAGCAACATATAAGGGTGAAAAATCGCAACAACCTCACCACCACACGCTGATTGGCTGAGCGAGCCCAGCGGTCCATCACATGACCTTGCCAAGCCGCTAACTCTGTTGCGCGCCAACAACGCTCAGGCTAGAGACCTCCGCAGACGTCCATCACCACCCATCCCGATATCACGAAGACTTGCGCCCGCATCTCAATATCCCCGCAACACGGTGTACACGACGCGTATACCCGTTTTCCACCCCTTTAGAGCGCGCCCGCGCCCTTGCCACCCCCCACATCGAAATTGCGCGCTCCCCCTCAGCCTACACTAAACAACGCGACACTGCGACGGCGGGCTTCCGAGGGTCTTTCATCGGCCTCATCCCCGAAAGGGTCGCGACCACCACCACCTCGCCCGATAATGTCATAGAACACCGTTTCACACGCCAATATTCACTGCACGACTGTCGTTTCCTCCTAATTGCGCCCCCTTCGCCTACCTCAGCCACGTGCGGCGAGCGCGTTCAAGCCTCGACACACTCTATATCGGTAGTCCATTGCATACTACCACAACCGCACTGATTCCACCATCACCATGGCGTCGGTTCAAGCCAATCCGGAAATGCCCGGTCAGGGTCAGCTTCCTGGTAACATCACCCGAGAGCAGATTCAGCATGTCTTTCAGGTAAGTCCTCATGCAGCTGGCAAATGCGCATGCCACTAACGATATTCTCAGCGCTATACTGCTATGAAGGCGCAAGGTGTACCCGAGACCAATCCCGAGTTTATCAAGGCGCGCAACCTTCTCAGCATGGTCCAGAAGCAAAACCAGTACCAGCAACAGCAGAAGATGCTTAGACAGCAACAAATGCAGCGCCAACAGGGCCAAATGGATCCGCAAAATGCACAGCTCAACGGCGCAGGCATGGGCATGGCAAATGGCACCAAGCCAGCCACACCTGCTGATGCAAAGGTTACAACGCCCATGCCAGCTTCGACCGGTCCCTCCTCTACCATGCAGGTTGCAACAGCTGGCGGACAGACTCCTGCCGGAGATGGCCAGACTCCTACGTCAGCTACTGCCGGCTCCATGTCTCTGTCCAAGGACCAGCTCCTCATGCTGCGTGCCCAGATCGGAGCCTTCAAGCATCTTTCCAAGGGTCTACCATTGCCCTCCAACATGCAGCAACAGATATTCGGTCACCACCAAGCAAAGAAGCCCCAGAACGCTGCAGATGCCGTGGCCGCAGCTTCCCAGATGCTCGACAATGCGACCCGCGCAGGTAGCACCTCGAGCGCGACTGGTGGCGCAGTTCAGGAGACCCGCCCTCTGCCTCGTCTTCCCGATACCTTTATCGATCCATGGAGCAGCGAAGCTTTCCGTGACGTAAACTACATATCTCATACTCAACGCAAGAACCGACCATACCTTGCGACCATCATGCCTCAGGTGTAGACATTGACGCAGCA